CATCGTTAAGCGAAACACCATTTCCCATAGGAATGCATTGAAAACCGGTTAATCCGTTCCAATAGGAGCCTATTCAATACATTTCAATGGTGAAAAAAAAAATCACCAAAAATTCAAAAAGACTCAGAATGAAGCCAAATTACTTTAACGAAGGTTTTATTAGGTGCACTAACGATTCCAAGCATTTTAAACATTTTTTAAACATTTTAGAATATTTTTAAAATAGCGAAAACAGGGCTGTCAAAAAAAAGTTAAGCGAAACAGGGGACCTAAAACTGTCATCGTTAAGTGAAGCAAGGTCCCAAACATCGTTATGCGAAAATCCCCCATAGGAAATATCGTTAGGTGAGGCGGCAAAATTTCCAGCAAAGGCCATCGTTATGCGAATTCATCGTTGAGCAAGGCACTCGTTGAGCGAGGCACCACTGTATAGCCAAACCCTGTATGAACACCAATAGATTAACACCAATAGCTTCTGATGAATGAAATCCCTTAACTGGAAGATATTGTATTCATTATAAAAATTAAAGTACAATTCATCTTTACAGATACCAGGGAAATGTAATAAATATAGTTAAAACAGAAGAATATTATTAAAGCAGTAAAACATCTGTGTCATTAAAAGATTAAAAACAATAAATCACACTATATTTGTTGCTTAAAATGCCTTGAGAAAAAGGTTTTGAGCTGGCACCAAACCAGTTGTGGTGTATATACTTCTGTAGTTGACATGCCATAACAAGGTTCTTTGCCTATCTAGTGGAGCTGAAGTTCTTCAGGAGAAGCCTCCTTTGGTTCTCTTAAGTCATGGACAGCGTGTTACAGGGAGAAGATAAATCTCCAGAAATTTGGGTTCCAGATTAGGATTTAAAAGTAATCAACCACAGCTTCAGCTAGTGTGGGACATAAACAGCAAGTGCTGTTCCTTCAAAATCAATGTAATATGATCCTGCTTGATTATACTGACTGCAGTGTTCTGCACTTGCTTCTCAAATCTTCCCCAACCCCCCTCCTCCCCGATATAACACATTACAGTATAGTAATCCAGCTAAGCTTCTTTTGAAAACAGCTGCATGACTTCTGGAATATAAATTTAAATACTAGATTAAATATTAAATTGAATTAATTAAATTAAAAAGCAGTAATTTTATTTTCTCCAATAAGCAAATAATCTAGAGTGTTATTAATTTATTTCAGTGATCACTCTGAAATGGAATATATCGGAATAAATATTGTCTGAAATGGAACATAATTAAACTCAAGTGTTTTCTTGATGAACATTTCTGATGACTGCTCTCTGCTTTTCAATAGATTATGATGTGTGCCATGTATGGCATATGTAAAGTGAAGAACATTGATCTCAGGTTTAAAACAATTGTGACAGCGTATAAGGAGCTCACTAGCACTAATCAAGAGGTATGGACATACTTATTTTTCTGTATGATTAATCCTGTGAGTTTCTCTTCAGACCCTAAGCTGTCTCCCCCAGACTGCAAAATTTTCTGTCTCTTGTCATCTGTTGACTGGAGGTAAAGATTTTCTCCTGTTATTTAGAAAAATCTATGTTGATGCCATAACCTTACCTTCCCCTTGAAAAACTGCTTATCTGCCTCTATAGTCTGCCTTTTAAAAAATCCCAGTGGAGGTTTTCTCAGGAGGCAGGAGTGTGGGAAATATGAGAGAGAAGGATTTGGGGGCAGTTACATCAGTGAACGCATGCAGGCTCTGGCATGCAAACCATGTGTTGTGCTTGGAGCCAGTTTAGTCCCATTCCAAAGAGACTTTCTTACCACTGCATTAATGTGTCATGCGGACAGAACAAACAAGTTGCTAACCCATTATATTCTAGCACTAGGACGATTTAAAACAAAACAAGTATTCTCATATTGTTTCCAGCCCACTATCGTATTTTATTACATTTATACTCATCTTTTCACTAAAAAATGCTGCTCAAGGCAGCTTACAAATGCATGCCTTAAGTATTTGAATATGATGATTAGAAAATAGTAGTACCGTGTTTCCCTGAAAATAAGACAGGGTCTTATATTAATTTTTGCTCCAAAAACGCATTAGGGCTTATTTTCAGGGGATGTTTTATTTTACAGTCATGTCATCTTCTGGTTGCTGCACAGTGGTGGAGGGCAGGGTTTCGCTTAACTAGGGTTTATTTTGAGGGTAAGGCTTATATTACGAGCCTCCTGAAAAGTCATACTAGGGCTTATTTTCAGGTTAGGTCTTATTTTCGGGGAAACGGTATAGACTCAACAGTGTAGCTGTACCAGTCACTTAAATTAAGCATGGTGTTGAATTCTTACGGTATTTAAACAGAATATTCAGCTTTTATATTCCACTGAATTGTGATCAATAACCACTGTTGAAGACATTCCCTCAGACTAGCACTGAAATAAAATTCTGTTGCTAATCTGTGTCTTCAAATAAATCGCTGCAGCTATTGGCAAGTTTTCAAAGTGTGTCTGTTTTACAGCTCAAGATCAAACTCTGCTGAACAGGTTTTATGCTCAGAATACACAGCATAAAGCTCCCCAGATACTAGCTAAGAGGTGTACATTTGCCTCTGAGTGTTGGATGTTGCGGGGACCAAATCGCTATGTATACCATGGACTCTGAGTGTTCATGTTTCTTTATAAGAGGAGCTATGGTTCTTAAACAGATTCAGAGGGTGTCTTATCTAAAGCACTGCACATGAGTTGGCATAAATGTAGGTGTGTACAGTAGAGTCCCCTTATTCACGGGATCAATATTCACTGATTCACTTATCTGCAGTCTGAAAATATTAAAAGAAAACCAGAAAAAACTATTTTCATATGAATTACCAGAAGCAGCCACTAGAGGAAGCCAGAGACCATGCTTTGAATACTTGTTAGTGCAAAATACAGTGGTGCCTCGCATAGCGAGGTTAATTGGTTCCAAAAAAACCATCGCTATGGGAAAACATTGTTAAGTGAAACGCGTTTTCCCATAGAGATGCATTGAAAACCGGATAATCCGTTCCAATAGGAACGGATTATCCGGTTTTCTCCCCCACTATCGGGCGCAGCCCTTTGGGAGAAGCCTCGGGGGAGGGGGGGAAGACGGCATCGGCTCCTGCCTTCTCCCCCACCACCTGGCTTCCCCCAAAGGACTGCCCCGAAGTTGCTTGCAGCAGCGGAAGAGGTGCCCGGTGGAGGAGAAATGACAGATCAGCTCCTGCCTTCTCCTCCACTGGGCACCTCTTCCGCTGCTGCAAGCAACTTCGGGGCAGCCCTTTGGGAGAAGCCAGGTGGTGGGGGGGAAGGGCGGGGCCGATGC